TCTATCTATCTATCTATCTATCTATCTATCTATCTATCTATCTATCTATCTATCTATCTATCTATCTATCTATCTATCTATCTATCTATCTATCTATATGTTTTAGCGTTATAAGGGTATAAGGTGGTGGGCCAGCAGCGACCTCTGGTGGATCTTCATGAGAAGCATATTTGGGTCTGAGTTTAAGGCTGTCTATAGATGGCACGTGATCACTAGAAAACACATAATTAACAATATTTTTAAAGAAAGACGAGCGTTGCAGTTTCAGGATATGGAACAGGAAGATTGCTGATATTATAATAAACATCAACAATGCATCCACTCTGGCAAGTAAAAAGGTCAGTTTTGCAAGTCATCAAAACTCGAGTTAACTCCCCAGAAAGCTTCAAATGTGGGTGTAGATGTTTGCTAGCAGTGAAGAGCTAGTTCAGTCAAATTCCAGAAATAAAAATCTCACTTATCTCAAGTGGCATCGAGCCTTGCAGTCAGTTTCTATTGCACAAGTTGCCCCTGAGATTTTTGGCAGCATCACAACACAATAAAGGCGCATTCATTATTAAAGCACTATGCAGATTGCACTTTAAAAATGTAACACCAAGACATTCCAGCTTTCCAGAACAGGCAGACATTTGGACACTTGTCATAGCCGGGCACGCACAAGGGACAATATTTTGGTAACGATGCCTCAGTAAACAGTGCCAGTGAGCCGACATGCACAGAACCTTGCAAACTAATTCACCTAACTCATTATGTGCTGTGCCAGGGATATTCCAACTGTGGTTTGCCAGAATGTCTGTAATGACTCTTTAAAACCAGAAGCTTATTATGCTAAACTTTTATTCCAAGAAATAGTCCCGATGGAAAGTGTTTTCTGCGAAGTTAATAAGCAGAGTTTAATACACTGCTGTGGAAATGTTAGCTATGCTCCCTTACCATCACCAGTAGAGCTTTCATCTGTCTAAAATACACTTACTGGCCACTTCATTAGAGATACCTGTCCAACTGTATGTTAATGCCAATTTCTGGCAGCAGCTCGATGCATTTAGGCATGTCAGTATGGTGAAGACTACCTGTTGAAGTTCAAATAGAGTATTAAAATATTTCACCAACTGCTGATCTGAATGTTTTTTCCACACAATCATCTCTCGGCTTTACAAAGAATGTTGAGGGAAAAAAGAAAGAAAGAAAATATCCATTGAGAGGCAGCTCTCTGGGCAAAAAATGCCTTGCTGAATCCAGAGAAGGGCCAGACTGCTCCCAACTGAAAGGAAGGCAACAAATAACCCAAATAACCACTACTAAGGTATACAGAAGAGAATCTCTGAATGTCAGACCTTGAAGGAGATGGGCTTCAGCAGCAGATGACACACTGGGCACCACTCTTTTCAGCTAAGAACAGGAAGCTGAGGCTACAATTCATACAGGCTCACCAAAATTGGGCAACGGGAGATTGGAAAAATATTGTATGGTCTGCTGATTCTTTATTTCTGCTGCAACATTTGGATTGTAGGGTCGGAATTTGGCATTAACAACGTGAAAGCATGGATCCTTTCTGCCATGTAGCAGAAGTTCAGGCTGATGGTGCAATGCGAACCACCTAGTTCAGCCAGTTTACCTAATGAATGCTTTTTTCCTTATATCAGTAATAAAGTGCCTGAATGAGCTGTTTTGGTTGGCAGCCTGCTGTGATGTCTTGAAAGGCATGGCCAGTCACCTCTCCTCAGGAAAGTCCAGCTCTGGAATGGCGGAGTGTAACGCAACAGACATTAAGAATATCAATTTTAGAGCATAACTTGAAAACAAACAAGCAAACAACAACAACAACAAAACAGGTGTATACACACATGAAAGAATGAATCTACATGGTGTTATGAGCAGAAACCTGAGAGACACATTCCAGGGTCAGAAGGGTGCCCTTGGGACCTTTAATTGTAGGATCGAAAGGGTTTTTTTTGGCATGAATGAGAACAAAGACGCTTGTTCTTGTAACAGAGATGTTTATTTAGACAACTGAATGCATGCCAAAAAGAACTGTGTTACAGCAGTGGTAACTTTCAGCTCTCTCACATTTCTAACTCTGAGGGAAAGACCGGATTAGGGACACAACAAACTTTTGAGCGTTGGTAGGGAACACTATCTTGCCCTAATTTATTGCATTGACACATTACTCTTGTCATGAACTCAGAGGGCGCGGGGAGACAGGAGGTACCATTGTTGAATCGAAGATTAAGGAGCTTGGACCTTAAAACAGCTTTGGCTAGGATATCATGAGTTGTTAATATCACTGTTTGGCAAAATTAATTCACACATTGCGTTGAGGAATTTTTTTTTTCCCTTTCCTTTTTTTTTTAACCTCTCACACAAAACACGTAAAAAGACAATAAAAAAGATGCACTTACTGTAGGTAGCATTCACATGCAGTATAATGTGTCTTCTCCTCAGACTAGATTTAACATTTTTCTCCACTATTTCTTACAGAAATTCACAGCTAATGTTTTTCAGTTTGGGGAAATTATCTTACACATAGTAGCTACTGGATGAAAAATGTTGATGGGATCGGGAGAAAATAAAAGAAGAGGAAAACAGTGAGATGATCTGGTATGAAAGGCAAAAAGAGACAAAATTGTGCTTATTGTTGGTGGGATCTCTGTCAGACGTTTTGTTTAATGAACACACAAACCCCTGCACTCGTGCTTCTAATTAATTCATGTTCAGCTCCCTCAAAAAGGGGGATTCCTTCTTGACACACAGACATCCGGCCACTTGGTCCATCAAAGATTGTTTTTTTGTTTTTTTTGCTGCTGTTGCCATTGTTTCTCCAATATACCGATGAGCCAAAAATACCATAATATCAAAAATAAATGCAACCCTTTCACAAAACAATGAGCAAATAAATAATAATCAAGTGGTGTTCTTGTACTGTATATGTACTGTATATACACAGAGAGTTACGTTTGTCGTATATATGTACACAAACAACTGGCAGTCTTGTTTCAGACTGGGCTTTTAGCATAGCGGACAACTGGGATTTGTGCCCTATAAATCCCAGAAAAAGCAACAACAAAATAACTTATACACAGAATCCTTGGGAGCAGAAGGGGTTACGCACGCTGAAGACTACTATGTCGCCTGCAATTTTTGCCCCCCAAAAGTAGAAGCACTGGTTTCGAAAGGAAAGCAAATTTTAAAAAAAAAGTAGTAACTTTTTGCTTTTTAGGAAGGGTGTAAAAAAAAAAAAAAGCCTCTTAAAATAATTAGCTTATTATTAAAACATAACAACAACATGCACGATGCTTTCCGAGCCTCAGTTGGAGAGGGTTATGATGAAGCACTTTTGCACAGTTGCATGACTTTGCAGTGTTTTTTTCATTTCTCCGTCTAATAATGCTTCTGTCCTGCGAAAAACACCGGTGCCATCTGTGCACATGTCGAGGCGAACCGCAGCCCCTCTGTGCCCTCCTGTGAGCGTGCTGCTCGTCTTGAATTGAAAGACGACATGAGAGGTTCTATTCTCCTCTCAAGCAGTTCTTCAAAATAAGAGTTTTGAATCCTTTTCTTTTAGCAGTTCTATGCTCAGGTCAAACGGGCCAGCGGCTCGCACTGAATTCCCGCTTCTTTCAACGTCTCCACGGCTGTCCTCCCAGCATGCTATGTCCATTTGCTTACCAACAAACACCTCACTAAACATTTTTTTTGTCCCGGTCTTATTTTAGTAGCTTATGTACAGGAGGTTGAAGTGTCTGCCAGCCAGTATCCCAGGCAACCAGCATATCCTCACACATTTACAGTATGCATTCCAGTTTTTCAGTCCTCTTCTCATCTTTGTCCTTTTCACAGGTTGTGTGCTTTTGTGTCTGAATGAGAGCTTCACTGACGTTACATGTGCGGAGTTCATGTTTCTACCTAAAAAGTGTTTCAGATGTTTTGCTTTTTCTGCTGTTATGGAGAGGTCACTGAATCACACATTGCATCTATAGAACGTATTTGTGTGTTTTTGTGTGGATGCGTGGGTTTGTGCTTGCATGTGTGTCGGTCTGGTATAATGTGTCCTTTTTTTTTTCTTTTCTTTTTTTTCAAACGCTGCGTGGAGGTCTTTGAAGCTCATGGGTCCTCCTGTTGCGTCCCTTCTTATTTTCCTGCATCCGTCTCCACTTGGTTGCATGTTGGCTGCTCGCCCGAGATCCCCCTGCGAGCTGAGAACCAGCTAGCCTGGCCTGCCCCTTCTGGCCATTTTGGGTTTTCTGGTTGTTCTTAGGTGCCTCACTGCTCAATATACCCTTTTGGGTATTCTGACTGAGTGTTGGCTCTTCTACTGTTAGAGCTCCAGCCTGATGCCATGGCCGACTGAGAGGTGGACTGGCTTGCTGTTTCTGAGCAGTGGGAGCTAAAGCTCTAGGCTGTAATGCAGAGTTGGACCCGCCTGCGCTGTCAGGCTTGCCCTGACTGTTGCCGTTAGGTGTCTTCACCCTTTTCTGTTTGCGCTCTTTCTTCCACACTCTGTCACAAAACTCCTCCACGCTGTTTAGCTCTGGGTGGTCCAAGAGAGACAGGAAATCTCGGTACCACATCCTGTGCTTGGCCGAGTGACCTGCGCCACCTCCCGCGCCAGGAATTCCAGGCAGGATGTCACCCAATCTCTGGGTGGGGATGACCTGGAGGTTGAGGCGTAGAAGAGGCTGGATAAAGCCGTGTTCCACAGCCTGGCAATGGTAGACCCCGGTGTCAAACTGAGTGAGGCTGCGTATCAGCAGACCTTGGTCTGTACGCAGCACTCGGTCATCTAGCTTTATCTGAAATGAAACAAAGAGGAAGACAAAGAACACAATGGGTGAAAATACTGAAAAAAATAAAGATGGAACATGAGAATGAACCAGAGTTTTTAAACGTACATATTCGATAATCTATATCAGAGATGTCTGACTCAATTAATTCACACTTGTCTTGCACTGCTCAAAACTACCCAAAAATAACCCATTAGAAAAACTCTTTCCAGAAATCATGACCCAGTTACTCAGAAAAATCCATGAAGTTTGATGTGAGAAGTTTTGTGACAGAACTATACAATATTCCTTCTATTAAATTACACCCCCAAACCAATTTGTAATAATCAGATCAGGATTTCTGGAAGGAGATACTGCCATTTACCCCCCTTACATTCAGGGGAAGGGATATATCTCTACAGCTGGTATCACTTAACCGAGGAAAGTCACATCAGAAAAAGAAAACACGTTTTACATTATAATGTCAAATTTGGTCAGGAAAGAAGAAGAACAATGAACAAGGGTTCAAAGGAAATGCCTTGTTTCAGGTCTCACTGAATACATGAGTATTGGTAAGAAAGATTGAAGCAAACTCCAAAGGTTCCTTTCAAGCTAACGTTGCTTCACACTGGAAAAACTGCAGCTACATCAATCACCTGGGCTGTCAGCACAGAGTGATGTTGTCCAGAAAAAGTAGAAGCTGGCTTAAACTTAGCAGCAAATCATGCAGCAAGTGTGGGTGGGCACAGCAAATTCTTGTTAGGTTAATTTCTTAGCTGAACACTATTTTTTGCTGAAACAGTAATATCCTTCCATATAAAATTATTAACGGCTGTGTTTCACATTTAATACACCCTCTGACTTGTGGATCTATTACACAGCTGGACTTTTTTGTATCGTATTTCTCTTTTCTTATTGGTACCTAAAATACCACGCCTAGAAAGGCCAGCTATAAAAATACAGCCGCAGTACAAAAGTTAATCTAAACACCCACACCCAGTGGTTTTCACCCTTTTGGGTCTCTGAGGTTAAAGATTAGAAGTGTCATAAGTCACTAGATGATGGAGCAGGAAAGGTGGAGCCCTGGATGGAGATATTTTGTCTGAAGAAATCTAACTATGTGTAATATATTTTATAATCATCTAGCAGTTATATTAGCAAGTCATCTTAGGCATACACACCTCAAGCTTGCGCTCGTCGTTGGGCTTCTGCAGTTGCCAGTAGATGAGCGCTCTTTGAGACTTGGGGCTGCACTCTAGAAACATACTGCTGTTCTCCACACCAAACACACTCCTGTCCTCCACGCTGTCCCCTAAGCCATCCATGTCATCTGCTCAATGCAAAGCACATGCAGACAGACTAATGAGACGCAAATGGCATGAAGAGGAGACAGTGTGTATGTGCTTGTATGAAATTATTAAGGTACCGTGATGCTGAAGGTCTGAACACTGGGAAAGAGGATCTCCATTTCTGATGTCTTGCCGTCTGGTTCGCCTGTGAAAAAACGACAGTGAAACTGAATGGAAGTGGTGGAAACAGACAGGTATGAGGACCTGTGGAAAACTAAGTAAACTGCATGATTCAGTAGCTTGCAGCACTACCTTTAGCAGCAATAACTAGTTTTCTGTATGACTTCATCAGTCTGTCACATCATTGTGGAGGAATTTTGGCCCACTCTTCTTTACAGCACTGTTTCAGTTCATTCAGATTTGTTAGCATTCATTTAGGTCCAGCTCTCTTGAGATCAATTTCAATCAGGTTGAGGGCTGGACTTAGACTGAATTACTGCAACACTTTTCTCTTTTCTTTTTCACCCATTCTGTTACAGATTTGTTGCTATGCTTGGAGTCATTGACCTGTTGGGTGATCTTGTCTCGGCCAAGCTTCAGCTGTCGGACAGATGACCGCACGTTAGAATACCTTAGTACACAGGGGAGTTCATGGGGGACTCAGTGACTGCAAGCTGCTTAAGTCCTGGGGCTGTATAGCAAACCCAAATTAATACCCCACCACCGTGCTGGCTGTTGGTTTATGGTGTTTGCACTTATATGCTGTGTTTGGTTTTCTCCAAACATGGTACTGTGCATTATGGCCAATTCCAGAAGTCTAGTGGTTTGTTCACATGCAATTTTGCAAACCTAAGCTATGCTGTCATGTTCTTTTTAGAGTGAAGAAACTTTCTCCAGGTGATCACACCACACAAGGCATACATATTTGAGTCCTTTTTCAATTGTACTGTTATCATCTTTACTCTTAGTTGGCATGCTAAATGTTAGGGTTGGAGATGTTGCCCTTAAAGTTTTTACAGTTTATCTGAGCCTTGCGAGGTCTGACCTTGGGGTGAATTTGCTGGAAGATTGTGGAATTATGTGGAACACAACTCTTTTTTGTACATAAATGAGTTTAACTGTTCTAATTAAAGTGGATCTGGACAATCCTAAAATGTTTCAATTACTGTCAGTTAACTCTTTTAACCACATGTAACTATTAGCTTCCAATTCCATTGCTGTAAGCTAATACTTGATTTCATAGCTATATAATTACACAAACAGTGAACAGATTTGACCTGCTTCTCCATAACGTTTAGCTAAGAGTTAGCCGACACTGTTAGCTAACAAATTCAACAAATCACTTTTTATCCAAATGCTATTTAGCCTTTAACATACAACATTAGCTAATAGTTAGTTGTACATTTAGCAAAAAACCCCCAACAAAAACATCTTTTTAGTTACTGAATGTGTTGCAACTGTTTCATTTGTTGACCCATGTCATTAGATTTCTGTTTAATTTCTCAGTTTTCTTTATTGCAGGGTTATTACCTTATAATATAAAGCACATTGAGGCCACTGTTGTTGTTATTTGGGGCTATATAAATAAAATTTTATTGAAAATCATTACCCATGCTATCAGGTAAAAACTGTTCAACTGTTTTACAGTAAGTGAGAGATCTTAACCGTTTATTCACTTTGTTTCCATTGCTTTTTTATTTATATCTTCTATGAATTTCTTTTGGCTGCTACTACTTAGTAAATTATACTTTTACTTAACTTATCTAAGCTTAGCTTTGCAAGTATCCAGTGGTATATTTGTAACCTGGTTGGGAATCATTGCTGTACATGACAAGTTATTTCTTATGTACTTTTTTATTCTCACCACTTGGGGGCAATGTTTACCCAATTCCCAAGAAAACAGGCACTAACTCAACCTTTAACTCCACTGTTAAATCACACGGATGAAAAAAAAACAAACAGCAGAATGTAAGAAACATAAACCTGCTGAGCAGTGAAACAGTGCGCTTCATTGCCTTCCGATGAGCCGTTATTATGAAACACATACAGCATTGTTTTGCCCTTGAAACGCCTTGTAAAAGCAGGCCCAGTCTTTGTCCTCTCCATATGAAAAAATCTACTGTGTGATTTGGCTTTTTAATGCGATGGCAAGGCGTTTTCAAAGTCTGGCTTTACTGACTAGCTGTGAATGGCTCCCTAGTTCCTAGTTGTCATGGTTCAAAAAACGCTGATGGCCGCTGCAAAATTCAAATTGGGCGCAAGCCAAACATGAGGCAAGGGCTGGAAAGAAGAGAAAGAACCAAGGTAGGGATAAAAAGTAGAACCACTGAAGGTTTAAAAAAAGACTAAACAAACAAGCAAACAAAAAAACAAGATAAAAAATGCTCAGCATGTTTGTGTGAATTCTCCACACAAAATTATGACCACTTACATCCCACTTTTTTCACAGGTGTCCCTCGTCTGTACATTTCCTGGGCTAACATTCCTGTCTTTTTTGGCCATCTGAGCACGTGCAAGGTTGGGTGTCTGGTTCTCATTCTGGTAGCGAAAATATTTGTAGTGCAGTGGAGAGCTGAGAGAAGCCTGTCCCCACTTTAAACATGGGGTGTGCCACCTCGTCTGTAATCTTGCCAAGCTAGAGTATACCCACTGGCCTACTTCTGTTGGTGTGAGAAGTTCTAGATGAATGAGACGACGTGGGGGTGTCGCACCATGTGTGTGTATGGGAGGGTAGTAGTGGTGTAGTGGTCAGCTTAATCCTGCTGGGTACAACAGAGGGTAATTTGAGGGAGTGTATGTTCCTCCTGGCTGAAGGGTGAAGTGGTCAGGCAGCTCCTGGTGGCTATAATTTATTGTGTGTTTGCTTGTCTTTGGATATTTGTGCATATTTCTTAATGCGTCTTGGTTGGTAGGATGATTGAAGCACAACTCAGAACAACTGTTACTGGCTAAGTTGCTGGATTGTACTTTCTTGGAACGCATAATTAGTGCGTATGTGTGTTTAATGACTCAATTTCGTGCTGGTGTAATATTCAGATTACTTCCATGTTTAGAAGTTTTGGCATACAATGGCTATCTGTGTCTGTTTTTTGGGAGTCGCCACACTTACTAATAAGCCAGTGGAGGTCTGACGCTAGAGAAATGAGGCTGCACATCAGGATGCCCTTGAGCATAACATTTAAAACCAATTGTTTTAAAGCCAACCAAAACAGCAGAATGCAGGTGTACTGATAAGTCCCAGGTGTGACTGCATGTGACGACACTAATACAGGATGTTGTTGAAAAGCAGCGTGCATGCTCAGCAAACCCTCCGAGGATACATAAAGGTTAAAGAAGGGTGTTTAGCGATTGCCGGCTCCTACCTCTTGGCAGTAGGAAAGTATCTCGAGCACTCAGCACCGTCCCAGGCGCAGTAAGGGTCTCTGGCCAGGCAGCACTCAGCGCAAGCTTTCCCATACACTTCGCAACGGTGTAAAGACATCTGCGATACACCCAGGGCTGAGCCAAGGTACAGCTGTTGCTGTGGGAGTCAGAGAGAGAGCAAGGATGTAAAAATTAAATGTTCCTGTGCGCCTCAGTTGGAAGGGTTCTTGCAAAAAAGAAGGTGCTTGTGGGTTTAGTTCTCAGTGGGCACATTCTTTGCTTATGGGTAACAGTGTATGTTTAAAGACCGAGAATTTCTCGCTTTTTTGTTTCACGTGGACCTTTACCCTTGTCAACAGCTTTTGGATTAATTACAAAGTGAGAAAGCAAGTTTTTACCTGCTTGGTGGACAGCTCCATAGCAGTGATGGGAGTAGGCTCCTGTACAAAGCAAATAAACCCCATTTAACACCACTTCTACAGACAATATGTGTTTTTATAGGAAGGCTATTAGCACGCAATTACAAAACGTCATACCCTAAAGACAGTCATCTCTTCCAATACAACTTCCTCGAGGTCATGCCAGCTTTCTCTGGGGATCGTAACCACCTTCAGCACTGTTCCTTTATCTGAAATGCAAAAGACAGCATACAGTTAGTGTATATGCAGGCCTGTGCTGGTCATAGATTAACATCCGTGGTGCATGTATGTACGGTTTAAGTAATAGATTAGAAATACGTGTGTGTGCCTTCTTCAAAATACATGTTAAGTGCAAGAAGAAACATGGAAATAGATCAAAAAATTAAAAATGATTAAAATAGATTCTCTGGAATCTTCGACATGCCTGACAAGTGCATTAAGCTCTCCAGCATATTTTCCTTTGTTCAGTCACGTTTGGTTTTTTTTCCAGTCTTTCTCTGTTCAACGTCCGTGTTCTTTTACTCATCCTAATCTTTCTATTTTATTGCCCAGTCTAAAACACAGCTTGTTCTTTATAACTCTGCAGAGAAAAGCCAGCATCCAGGACTCTCTTCATTGTTGACACTGAGACTGGTGTTTTTCAGTTGCCATTTAATGAAGCTGCCAGGTAAAGGCACTGCGAGGCATCTGTTTGTCAAACTATAGATTCTGATGTGCTCTTTCTCAGATGTGCACACAGAGGCCTCCCACTTCTCTCTCTATTCTTATTTCCTGGAACAATGATACTCTGTGAGTTTCAAAGAAATGTCTTTTCTTTGTCCATTACAATAATCCAGATGCTCAACTATCCAAACATTTTGCTCCTTTAATCAGTACAACAGTTTTCAGCTGTGCTAACATCACTGGGAAAGGGGTTTCCCACCGATCAGTCAGCTTTATAAAGTTGATAAACTGGAATTAAGTACCACAAAGAACCACTGGAACACAGGAGGGGTCTTTGTGTGCCTAGACAGATATTCCATTAAAAATCCCTAATAATTTATGACTAACGGTCCTGTTAGTCGTTAGTTGTCTTTCCCCAAATTTCTGATTATTTTAATCCCATTTTAATTAAAAACAAATTGAGCTCAGTGGTTCAGGCCAAGAAGTTAATTGGAATCAACTGGTACATCAACTGATCCCAATGCCATGTGATGGCTCATGATGATATCCTTTTACACACTCGGGTTGCAATCTCAAAAAGTGAAATTTGGATTCTGCAAGCTGCTTTGAAACCCATCTTCACCCAAGCTCCCCCTATTTCAACATAGACATTTGTTAGTGAGATCAAGCTTTTTAAGAGTATTAGATACTGATGCCAGTACACTGTAAATAAAAATAAAATTGAAAAATTAATTAAAAGTCAGTTAAAAAAAAAGAAAAATATTATTGTAATTTTCAGTGTCTGTTTTTGAGTGGAAATATCTGTAAAAATCTATCTGTGGTTAAAAATGTCTTTCATTTTAAAACAATACACTGGATTTTATTTGAACAGATTTTGTTTGCAGTGTATGCCAAAAGTACTTATGGCGGACCACCCTGAAATAAACATATAGAAGCAGTATATTTATTGCAGTGTCATCTGTTGCATACCTGTGCCAATGAACATGACATCATATTGCCCATCCTCTGCCTCCACTTTGTCCACCACCAGCTGGGTAAACTGGTAGTCCACGTCTGTGCGTACCATTATGGGTCGTCCCCCTATTGGGTGCACCGGGTTGTACATGGCAGGGTGACCCCTGGCGAAGGTGATGACATCATCCGGAAGGTCCTTCGTAGAATCGAAACCTCCAAATGTCTTGCTGGGGCACTGAGATCAAGACGTGATATGTTTGTTTCTTCTAATATCGTCTTATAATGTCTCATTATTACTTAAAAATTTACAACATTTTTGCTAAATTGCCTTACAGTTCCAGGGCGAGGGTAGGGCACCCTCCCTTGGAAGGGCACCCACTGGTAGTTGGGTCCATCTCTGTGGGCATAGGGACCCAGGAAAACCCTCCTGATGTCTGCCATGTTGTACATACACACCGCTGAGCCTTTAAATATGTTACTGTGGAAGGAGAGAAAAAGAAATAAATCCAGAAGGGGTGAGTTTAAGGATCAAGAGTTGGAGGAAGCAAGAGGGTGGTGAAATAAAAGAGATGACAGAGACAAACAAAGGGGATTCATAAATGATCGGTCACAAGACAGGGATTAGGAGCTTGTTAAAAACTGAAGAAAGACAACAAAATGACCCATCATCGCACAAAGACAGAGCGGAGCAAAGTTGTCATTACTTGAGTACAGCAATGACAGATTGGAACTTCTCTCTGATTGCTTCCAGCCTCTTGAGAACAGACAGGAATTTGGGCACACCACCAACAAACCAGGAGACCTGGTTCAGAGCATATTTGAAATCCCCTCCAATATTTTGTGAGCATTTGCTTGAGCCAGATGGGTGGATTTTGCTTTCACAAGGAAAGCAGGCAAGGTCGATCAATCATGCTAAAAAAAAAAAGGGAAGTGATGTGGATTTTATTTTTTCAATTTAAGCTCTTTCGTGGGTCATCCAGAAGACAGCAGTTTGAGTCGTGAGTCATTAAATGGGAGAATCGGGGAGTTTCACATGAATATTCCAACATGCATACTCCACAAGAGTTATTAAATATTCTTGTGGAGATTATGACAGAATAAGCACGATGCTTGCAGTCTTTGGAGAGCGTGAAGTCTATAAACCTTCCGTCATATCTATTCATCTATTTCACAGTTTTATAGATTTAGAATTATTTACTTTATGAGGATAAATGCCCCCAAATAATCATTCATTTACTTTCCAGGTGTCACATTTTACAATTACAGATTTTCTTTTGGACAGCAAATCTCCTTCACTTGCAGGAACCGAATGCTTCAAAATGATTCGAGATGTCCTTTGTCTTGCTGACTGCAATGGGAAGTTGTATCAGCCTAATTAGGGATGTGGCTGGCAAACACACAGCCGACAGTACTCCACAAAGCATGGAAGATGAATGGATTAGCATTTGAAAATGTTAATTACAGAGAAATTCAATTAACTCCAGGGGCAAAAAAAAGACGCTCCAATATCTGTGCTTATGAAGAAGGGTGAAAATGTGTTTGTGCAGATACACACAGACACACAGAAAGAGGCATGCAAATTCACCCCTAGAATGCACACACACACACACACACACACAGACACACACACACAGAGGTACACAATCAGACACTGATCTGTCAGTGGCAGCTTCTTTGTGCCTCATTAAGCAGTGATATTAAAAGCCGGTCCCTCTGAATCTCTGCTCTATTCATCTCTGAAAACCGGCCACTTAGAAAACCAATTAAACCACTCTAATTCCTCAATGCCCCATAATTGAATTTTAAAGTGTACGCGTGTGTGTGCGTGCGTGTGTGGGCAGACGTGGATACGTGGGTGTACGCCCACCAGCGCCCACCAACCTCTGGGTTTTAATACATCCCTGAAAGCAGTGAAAAGCCAAACAGGTCTGGTAAAGCAAGGCGCCTGTCACCATGCGTTAGCCTGCACCGCTCCTCTATTCAGCTCGTCTTATCATTAGCAGTGATTGATGAAGCAGTGCAGAAACAGTACCGGAGACACACACACACACACACACACACACACACACACACACACACACACACAAAAAGCCCTCCTCCTTCCTGAATGCAAATTCATCATCTTCATCATCACGATAAGTGCCACCATCTGTGCCATTTCAACTCACTTATCTGCCCTGCCCCATGCCTTCACCTCTCCACATGCTTCAGTAGAGACACACCCGGCTTCTGAAAACCCCATTCGAAGCTGGGGCGGTGGCCGAGGGGGGTGGGAGGAAAAAAAACAACAACAACAAAAAACCCCCGTGGATTTCTGTTAAGTGAATATCATGTTTCTCTCGCTCCCTCCTGCTCCATAATCTGATTTTCCTACAAGCCTGCCAAGGTTTCAGTGAAAAACAGGACAGGTAGTGAGGAATTGGGGAATCGGATAAAAGCAATCTCCAAATCTGAGACGAGGGGAGGGCTACCCTCGGAGAGAAAAGCATCCGTGAGACACCTGTAAGTGGATTACGAGAGCGCCGTCTGGGAATTTGACAGAGGCGCACTTGGTCGCTTGCATCGTGCCGTGCCATTTAAAATGGTTAGGAAATTACAGATAAAGGGGCAGGATAAAGGAGGAGAAAAGAAAGGCTTCTTGAAAAGAAATACGAGGCGCGTGTTTTTCAAATGCAGAGGATGAAACCTATACAGGAAGGCTGACCGTTGAAATAATCGAGTCTTTCTGATCTCTTAGCAACACATCAACAAAACAATTCTGATACTACCAGCATCTGTCACGCAGTTTGAACATTTGAAACTCTTGCATGCTCACTTTGGAGGTCAAGGGCAAAAGACTGTACCTGGATGTGGTGAATACGGCGTAGATAACTGGATTCTTTGGGTCCTTGGAGCTCATGAGAAACACGTCCTCTAAACAGCGAGAAGAATAATGTGTGAAGGTGAAGCTCTGAGGTGAGGTTGGAATTTTTCCACATCGAATAAAGACACAAATAAATAAAATAAAAACGCACTTACGCAGTTCGTCGAAATGTGTGTCAATGCCATTGACGCCAGGAACCGCGCATATTAGCCGTGCTTTGAGAAAAGTGGTCCATTTGTTGACCAGGCTCCTGTGACCTCCCATGTCATTCTGCAACAACATTTGAAGTGCTGTCAGCTCAAACCTCCGTATGCACTTTTGTTAGTAAGGTCCTTGCAAATATCACATTTATTAAAAATGTTACAGAAGTATTAAGTTTCTGTTCATAAAACATATTGCAGTAATAAAAATAGGACTGCAGTCTCCTTCTATATTGTATCATGTGTGAAGTTTTGTGATAATATCGTATTGTGAGGCGTTGTGTCTGAAGATTCCCACCTCTAACTTTTACTATATAAGGCATTTATAAGGAAGGTAAAGGTTAACTATGGGCATATGATCGTTAACTTTTTTTCAGCAACTATGACTCTGGCTGTTCATTATTACTTTGATTTTCTCATTAGGACACGTACATGTTAATAAATGGCTTTTTAAGGGCTTATAAACTGATAACTAAGGCACATTATAAGAAGTATGCTACTTTTTTTGTGTAACAGAATCGTATTGACACCACATCACACTGTTATAACAGTTTTGTGGGGTTGTGTGTGATGTTACCTTACACAGTTGTCCTATTCTGGCAATAGTAGCTTTCCCAGTGTGCTCCCCGTCCATGGCGTTCTCTTTGAAAAACAGGAAGATCTTGTCATCTTCGGGGTTGTCACTCTCAGGGATCAGGTGTATGCCTACGAATCTGGGATCTACAGGAAAGAAAATAGAGGAAAAAATAAACAAATAAAGCACATAAACTTTGTTCACACTCATAAAATCACCCCAGCAGACACACAAATACAATTTTACAATCCAACCTCTGCCCCGGTGACAATCATTTCACCCCTATTTTACACCTCTGTAACCAATCCCCCCCCCCACGATATTCTCCAGTCACGGCTCGGTAATAGCAGCCCTTCACTTTACACCATGGTGTTATAGTATGTGACTTTACCTCAAGTGAGCGCTCCAAATCCAAATCCCACATAAACCCTGTCTCTAGACCACATCCTCGCAAACACACATGGCTCTGATTGTCCCGGGTAACACTTGAATAAATTTATCCTGACTTTAAGCGCAAGAGGAAATCAAAGCTAAACGTAGGAGCCAAGGCCTTAGGGCTGGGATCTTTTGGCATAAAGGGGGCGTAGGAATCGAAGAAAAGTCGCCGCAGTGAGCCTACGTCCAAAAGCTCGGGGGTTTAAGCGGAGAGAAACAAGCAGTGCCATGTTACACCTCCATGGGCGTTTAAGATATAGAGTAGCTGTGAAAAAGGAGCATGCGGCCAAAGTGGGAGGCAGATTTATAAGGGTTGCGCAGGTGCGAGACCTCTGCTGTGAATTGTGTACCCCACACACACTGCCCTTATATGTAGACCACCATAAATTTGTGTGCGCACACCACAGATAAAACAAAACCAAGCTGCTGACCACTGAAGTCATACCACTGATTACCTATAATCCAAACAAAAAGCTGCTTTATTCAAAGGAAATCCAACCATCCATATAAGCAAGAGGTCATTAAAATGTGAAGGAATGCGTAAATGAATCTGGACTACCAAACTACAGTTTAACCCCAAATCCTTTTAGAATCAGCTGCTATTAGGGATTCATTCCCTGGTTTCTCTCTTAATACATTTGAGTACCATATAACCTTGTTGATAAAGCCTCAATAGAATATCTCCACCCCGGTAATCCATGCAATTACAATCCCCTCATTGTGCAGAAGATGCTGGATTCTGCCGAGCTGAATGGATACAATCCCCAGCGTATTTGTTTGAACAAGGTGAAAGATCGATGAGGATTAACGCTATAACAATGACTTCCTCGGTTTATACTGCTCTTTATTAATATGTCACAGTAATCAGCACTGGCGAGACCCGTGTTTGTGATTTTTGATGGTGCCTGGGGAGGGGGACGTGGGCGGTTGAGGGGGACTGGGAGGAATTTGACTCCACTACGGGAGGAAAACAGCTAAGAGCGGATTAGTTCTGTGGGAAAGAGGGTAGGGGGTGGGGTGGGGGGGGGTGGTGGCACAGCTTGAGGGAAAGGTTCAAACTGACCTTTTGTGGCTCCCTAAGTCCTCTGCGGTGCCGAAAGATAGCCAGACAGACTGAGCAGTCAATAACCCTCACTGCAGCGCTAATCTTGCTAGCACAGGCAAATCCACTGACTTTGTGAATGGGCTCTGATATCTGATGTCTGCACATGAATGGAAATGATTGGAGACTTGAGGCTTGCGAGAGAATTTAATGTCTCAAAGTCTGCTGAAAAGCTCAATGGTATACTTTTCCAAATAATGGCCAATGACAGGGATTTCCATGCAGCTTTTAGGGAAAGGTTGAGGTCTATAGAGACCACAATGGTCTAATTTTACCTTAATAGCAAAGTATTTTGAGTCATGTTATCTAGTTTTTGCAGTCTCAAGTGGTTTATACTTAACTGTTGCTACTAGGAATAAATATAATTGAGAAGTGTTCAGCAGAATACACCATGATGAAAAATTCAACTGCTGAATTGAACATGAGAAACAAAAGAATTCACTCTTAGCTCATCTTCTACGATTTTATTTATTTATTTTTTACCATTCAGCCATCTTGAATCATGCTGCTCTGTTCTGATTGGATGATGATCTCCCAGTGTACGGAAAATGGCAAAGTCCCTTCCCATGAAGTCAGCAGATGTGCCCGAGTACAGCTCTCCATCTGCCAGCGAGAAAGGATAGTTAGGAACAAATGACCAGCTCTGAAGTGACTGCGTCCTCTCTGGAAGTAATAAAAGCACACATCAAACTTACCAAGGAGAAGTGAGGCTGAGAGCATTTTGGGGTCGTAGGGGCTTTTCCCGCGGCCGTTCTCAAATTGTGAGGCCAGTCGGAAGATGTTGTCCTGCGGTGGGAAAAGGTCAAAGATCGAAATGAGGGCAGTGTAAGCCACAGCGAGCATGGTTAAAGGTACATTTATAGCACGTGTTTCAAGTTACAATACATTCTCATTATAGCGCGCTACTTTGGGGGAGTGGGATGCAAAAAAACACTTCCTCCAGACAGGAGAAACAAGAAATGTTTTATTACACTGCTGCCCTTGGTTACCAAATGCACCAAAAAAGGGAATATAAGCAGTAAAATTAAGTAAAAACAGACACGACCTCTGAGTCTTTTAAAGAAAAGCGAGTGAGTTTTTTGTGGCTTTGAATTTATTCAATCAGTTACAGATTGTCAGCACTACTTTAAACTGAAGTGAACGCCTCTATGGTCTACCCCTCCCTACTGCTGGACTGCACGATCCATGCTAGTACATTGATTAACCTGTAGAAGTTTCTCAAGATGACTGATTAAACTTTAATGCAGGATGGAAGGCTGTTAAATATTCGACAGCTGTAATTGAACCATGTAGTGACCGCTTTTTTCCACTGCTTCGCACAAAGGACAACACTGATGAGAAGATAATCGTCAGAGAGAATGAACACGGCTGTACTTCGGACAATACTCAGACTTTCTCTCACATGAATTTACTATAGCGCTGTTGTCACATTTCATGCCTTCTTAATGAATGGTCAGTTTAAGATTTAAATGACCCTTTGCATATATATAACTGATTAAAACCCCAAAACATTTGGTTACAATAAAAGCCCCGAATGAATTACCTCTGCCTTCTTGCCCATTTCCAGATAAGCGCAGATGGGGTGGAAGGCTCCTGTGCCACAGATGTACAGATGGGTCTGGTTGTATGGTTGAAGGACACGGATGAAGTTAGAACACTCCTTCTAAAAAAAGAAATGAGACACAGGAACATAAAGCCTCCGCTATTATAATAACTTAATACGGATCAGGCATATTCAAATGAAAAAACTGGGTTTATCTGTGGGAAAAAACATGATTTTCCAGTGAATAATCCAATTTTACATAAGCTGGTGTTGGTGATATAAAGTTTGTTCTAGTGATGAAGTTCACACAGGTTTCAGTGGTAATCGTCAAATGTAAATAGTTGGTTTTTTTAATATATTAATGCAAATACTTTTTACCAAATTATAACGTAAAATTTGCATTTCTTCTAATAGCAGTTTGCTAGAAATTTAAGCATTTTTATGACCATAAAAAGTAAAAAATAAGAACCTTTCTTTATTTTGGAGACTGGAGTGTGGCAAGCAAACAATTTTTCACAAATCCTAAATATAATAAAAATACTTTTTTAACTTGCAATTACTGAGAATATATTTTTATTATATGAATATAATATTTACAGCATGCATGAAGATCGCTTGACTATAATAATTCGTCTTCATATTAATATGTTTATATGTCAATATATGTGAAGTGCATAACTTTATAGTTACTGTTGCGTGGCTAAACTATTACTTTAAAAGACTGAATTATTTATAACTTTTATATATCCTAAGGTTATAATATGCTGCAGTTATGCTGCAGGCACAAGGTTAAATTATGTTACAGGCTGGTGGAGTTTTGTACAGCATGCATAAAGTTTTACACCACATTTCACATGACAATAAAGTTAAACAATCATAAAAACTAGCATAAAACAGACCTAAATTTTGGCCAGAAATGTGAAGTTTTTGGCTATAAGGCTGTGGCTTACAGGATACCGTGAGATATAAGGCTGGAAAACTGTTTTGAATACATTTTTGTTAATGTGATACCTATCTTTGTTTATGCTGTAATGTTACCAGGGTAGGATATTATACAGCCACATGCAACTTTGTGACCTTTGGTCTTCATGAAAGATCCGATATGTTAACAATAACCTCATTCTGCCAATTGCCACCTTCATATCATAAAGTTTAAATTAACTGGTATGCTTTGTGAAAATAAACTTGACGTTTTTATTAGAGAAAAACTGAAAATAGAGACTAATAGAAAGCAGAATATAATATAGCAAAGATTTGCTGGAATTTAATTTTAAACAGGGACTTTCCAGTTGGTGTGTGAAATTGAGTCTCTTTTAAGGAAATCCCACCTGTAAGGAAAATCAGGCAAATCTACCACAGATCTTTAACGACCCATATGTTTGAATTTACTGAGGATATTTGGGTTGGCGCTGAAGTGCGTGTTGAAAGTCCCAGTGGTGTGAGACTGTTTATTAGAGTGCTAATCAACGGGATTGGTTAATGTAGGAGGCCTATTAGCAGCCTTGAGGAGCTGATTTGGCCACATGTGTTTAAGAGATTAGGCTGGGGTTTGCCTAATTATAAATACATGCTGGATATCTACCTAACAAATAAGTACACATTTGCTCAGGGATTTGCAAATACAGCCCTCGTCACACAGGCAGCCAAATTATCCTTCTTCTTCCCTCCCTAAAACACATGTATCTGTTCAGTCTTTTCAAGCTCGCAGACATTTCGCTTTGATGATTTGATGGTGTCTCTTATATGAGCCGTAAATGGATGCTGACATTTTCCAGTGCTGCTCAAAATAAACTCTGGGATCACTCACTGCAAAGCCGCCTCCCCCCCTCAAAAAAAAGCAGAATTTTCTGTAATTATTCTAAAAGGTAAAAACTGTTGTTTTAGCTCTAACTGTTTCTCCTCAGCAGTAACCTGCACGAAGAGAAAGTTTGACATTTTGGGAAAACCACTGACTTTTTCTTTTTAAAGGCATGAATACCACTCACATATCTTTGTGCCCGAGAGTTAAATAGCTTAGCAAGGTTGTTAGCTGGAGGTCTGTTTGAAGGTTAAAAAAATGAGCTTGTCCATGCATTTGTTTGTATTGTAAAAAGTGTAAAAAAAAAAAAATAGAGTTTGTGGTTTTACAGGAGGCTACTTCATTGATTTTCTCATGGTTGTAACGATAGCTGAAAAAAGACGCTACAGCATAAGGTAGAAAAACAAACTGTACTGAATATCTATGCTGTTAGTTTTTCTGAAACATGAAATTATCAATAATATGACCTACTGTGAGGTACAGCCCATCCAAGAAGATGAGGCTCCAGTTCTGCTGAGCTAAATTCTAGTATTTCTGGTACATTGCCTTAATTAGCAGGGATTGCTAGTGTTAGCTGATAAATATGGTAATTTCAAACAAACTAGCATGGCATTAGCCAAACTGCTAATGAGCTTCAAAATATGAGGTTCAAAACCATATACTGACCACAGTACTGTGCAAAAGGTTTGAGCCACCCTTCATATGCTCTTGGATAATTTGAAGATATCAAAAAAGTTTAAGGCCTAAAAACTACCTACAGCAGTATCTGGGAATCATTTGCTTAATGAGAAATGAGAAAAACTCCAGCTGACCTGACACAGGATCTGAATGATGCATCTGACCCATCAGTCGATCAATCTACTGTTCATCAAAACATCATTAGGAATGCTTTGAGGGGAAGGGTAGCTGTCATGAAGCCATTCTTATGGAAGGCAAACATGGAGAAAAGACTGTGGTATGCTATATTTCTCAAGAAGTGGAAAGAAAAGCAGCAGCGTTTATTAAGTGATAAATGCGAAGTTTAAATGTTTGGCTCAAGTCGTCAAGGAGGAGGTCAGGAGGGAGGAACAACAGTGAGTGTCTACGGCCATCTGTAAAACATGATGGAAGCTCTGTCATGGTTTGGAGCTGCATTTCAGCCAGTGGTGCTGCGGATCTTATCAAAACTGATGGAATTATTAATAATACCATGAGATTTTGATCGACAATTCAGTACCATCTGGAAAGCATTTGATTGGAAACGGCTTGATCCTGCAGCATGACAATGATTACAAACACACTGCCAATGCAAAGCATATCTTGATAGAAAAACACACAAGGGAACACTATCAGTCATTTGCTTATCTCCCTGGAGCCTGAACCTCAATATTATTGAAGGAGTCACCTTGACAGAGGATGGAAATAAAGACAGCCTTTGAATGCTTTTCAAGAGAAAGTCTGGAGAACTTTTCCTTAAGATTATTTCAAGAAATTACATGAAAACTTTTTGTATCCACAAGTCCACTGGACTCCACTTGTGTTTTGTGAGCATGTGGTCTCGCCGTCCTTGGGGCACATGCATAGTTGATGAATTAATTCAATGCCTTAACTATGCATGTGCCCCAGGCCGCGGACTTCGAGTGGACTTCAAAGAACTATAACGGGAATGACTGGGCTGTTGTATCTCCAGTTGTCCATGCCCGTGTGTGCAACCAAGTTAAATCAAGGCTCAGGAGAGTTTAAGCTTTGGTCATATCAAATATTGATTTTCAAGCTCATTAGAATTGTAAAAACTCAGCTTTACCCTATAATACTGTATATATAATGTATATTTATAGATGTTTCAGTAAATCTCTGCACCTATTTACATTTTCCAATAAAAAATATAAAGAAACAAGGGGTGGACCAACACTTTTGCGCAGTACTGTGCATCTATCTGTCTGTGGTGGAGACTCCATTAAGTCCTTTCCACTTATATTTCATTGATTGAACAAACTAGATCGATGTTAATCAGTGAGTGTTAGAGGTGTTGGCAGGCAGATTTTGTTACCTGTTGAAATGGGCAGACTGGTTAATTTCCTGTTTCCTGTCTGTTTGCTGTTACAGCATCTTAAAATTTATCTTACAGACTGTAATATCAATATTCTTGTCTAACTTTTGGAAGAAAGCAAATAAATCTCCTTTAAGTGTAACTGTTCTCTTAATATAAAATCTGTGACATGCTAACAGACTGGGGTTTTCCATGTATTTAAACACCTTTTAACTATGTGTGTTATCATTAACTTAACTTGAAGCCCTGTGGCTGACCTTAACCCTGCAAGTTTTTGTGTGTCTGTGGGTCTAATGGTTTTTCCCTCTGTGTACTGCTGAACAGCGAGCGCGCATGTCCCCCCACATCATTCTCACGGCCCTCGTTATATACATTTCATCAGCTTCTATAATCCCCTTCAGGGTCAGCTCTGTTTGGGATTTTACACGGCTGTCTCAGCTAGAATCATTAGCTATGTGGTAGGTAGGTCACACCTAAACACTGAGAGACGGTCGTTATGGTCACTCAAACTTGCGGCTCTTTCTTATTCTGTGGAGAAAAATGACTTCCCTGATCACAAACCATGTCATTATGTGAAAACCGCAACACCCGCAGAGGATAAATGAGTCATTACCAGATGATATTAATGGCTCTCGTTGGATTGGTTGTTAATGCTGACCTCCCATGGGGAAAATAGGTGGACAGATTTGTAAACATTTAAATGACTTGAATGAATTTTGAGATAATGTTGAGTTCTCTAGTTAAATAAAGAAAATGCACTGGAAATGTGGGATAACTCGAGAGTATTATTTTCCCATTAATGTCTACAATAGCTGGACAGCAAATCCGAAATGACATCAGGCACTTCTACGAAATCGTAAATCCACACTCTGAACGCTTTGTTCGGTGAATCAAATGCAACAACTTGGACCATGTTACACAGCCATTCTACCACGGATAGTGATACAGCCATCAGGCATTTTTTAGGGGGCAGCTGTTACATTTGTTCTGCCGCTGTAAACTGTGGTTTGGGGAAATGCATCACTATGGGAGCTCTGAATGCTTTAGTAATGTCCTAATCAAGGCCTCTCCGTGCTGTACTCTGTCTCTGCTCTCACCGCCTCATTTTCAAGGGTAAACATTTTCACAGCAGGCAAATACCTCATCATTGCATTTTGTGTGATGTTGTGCTGCCAGAGCACACTCTTTCCACTGCACGAGGGAGTGAAGGTGAAGTATTGCCTACGTGGTTGTGCGAAACCCAAAAAGTCGCTAGTGAGTTAGATCCCAGCGGAACCACTATGATTTAAAAAGACTGCGCAATTCCTGATAATCCTAAAAAACCCAGCAGCACCGCACTCGAGACTCATCCAGCTATGAAATTAGGATCAGATACAATGCAGCCAGGGCCTTTCCAAACAGAAACACACACACACATACAAATAAAGCACACTAACACCATTGTGCTTACAAAGTCAGCAGCATAGAGTGCGTTCAGCAAACTTGCGACATGTGAGCTAACACATCGCGTCAGATAACGAGAACTCAAACAATACACTCCCACATAAATATGCACACAAACGCGCACTCTGAGGCACATAGATAAACATGCTCCCAAAATTAAACTGTACATCGCAGAAGCAAATAAGCTCATTGTCCTTGTGCCCCCGACACGCTGTGTACACTATCGTGTGACTGAACATCTGCTGTACAGTGTGTTTAGATGTAGGTGTCATTGTGGGACAGCCTATAGAGAGTACAGCGTGCCAGAGGTGAAATGGAACACGAGTGCTGCACCACGACTTTTATCTGAGCTAATTTAATACCTCTTCGTGCTAGTGTTTCTTTAACGGCTGCTGGGCCCTGAAATTATTTCTGTCTTATATTGTTATTAGGATGTTAAAAAAAAACAAAAAAGGGAAATTTGAAGACAGAGCAGACATGTCATTTCCGTGACAAAAAGCAAACATTACACGGAACAGCTCTAATCATGACGCTGTTATAAATGTGGACTTACCCCTAGGTCTTTCCCTGCCCACTTGCATTCATCCCTCTTAGAGGGGGTGGCGGGCCACGCAATCTGTGCAAATGAACAAAAAAAAAAAGAAGAAAAAAAGCAAAGTCATATCATGCTGGGGGTTGAGAGGAACATTTAAAAGTCATTTCATGAAACACTAAACTGGAAGGCAGTGAGTCGATAGAGTGAATCAGAGGAAAGAAGCAAGCCTCGTGTAATTCCAGGACATGATTAAGAAAGATATTTCCTGGATTACCCAGTTCTTTATTTCGCTTTATATCTTTGGCAATTCCATCAGAAACATATGTGCACATATAATAAATATAAGGATTGTAGAACAGCGCAAGATTGACTGCATTAAAGGGAAGTAAAGAAGAGTTTTATTGACAGACATGAAAATGAAAAAAAGAAAAAAAATCTGATGTTTTATTGAAATTGACTAATATACGTTTTATTGCCCTCTCTGACATTTGCTGTGTCAATACAGGCATTTTATACAGTCTAAACAGGGGTTCTGGTTTAAATTACAGCGTGTCTACGCTTGAAATCCTCGCCATAAGGTTGTACTTTTCACTTCAAATATGAAAAGAAACCAGGGTTTTGCTACTTTGCTTTGGAAGAGATAGGTCTCATTGTCATCCATCTGTGGCCTCTGGTGTCACATGAATTAAACACACATGGGGCATATGAAGTGTATGAGCATGCATGTGTGAGCTGTAATAAGTACGGGAAAGATTATACTTAATTATACCGCAAAAATGGGTGCGACAGAGCTGAACTTTTTGCTCCTGGCCACACAGATGTCTGCAGACAATGGAAATGTATGCATATCTCCATGTCCAAATGTATGCACGTACACATATCCACACTGTTATGTGCTTACAATAGACACACGCACTGCTCACTCTATTCCTAGATTTATCTCCTCTCTAGATCAGCTGACTGTTCCCCTCATGGGATTCTGCATTGCACATTTTTTAGGATAATTACATTAGATTTGCTTAATCACTGCTTTTTTGGCCTTTATCTCGTAATGATGCGAAGATTAGAACAAAAGAACGAAAAGGAAAGGCGGGGGGAAAAAATACACATCCGAGCCAAGGGCAAAAGATTTAAAAGACGCACTTTCCCCTTTCCGCATTGACTATGTATTTTTCAGCACTTTCATTCCCTTTTTCAGCTCTCTGCAGCCTGCAGGCAAGTCTGTGTCAGTCTTGTGTGTCTGTGATAGAAGCCCGAATCAGATAAAAGAGACTGTTAACCTAGTCCAGGTGGAGTAATGGAATTATGGACAGCCTCGTCTGGACCGAGACAGACAGTGGGAGGGATGAGGGGAGGGGAGAAAGTGATGGAGTAATGGACTCCAGAGGGAGCAGCAGGCAGGGAAAGATGGAAAGAGAGAGACGACTTTTAGACAAACCTGAAACGAGAGTTTTACCTGTTTGTTGTCCCTGTTGATATTAACGAGATCAAATGAGAAAATGTGGTCCTCAGCTCCAACCAGCAGTCTCCCTCGCTCCTCGTCCAATAGGAAACTGTCGTAGCTCGAGCTGTTTGCCAAGCCATTGAAGGTGATGAGGTTACTAGACTCTAACATCTCTGGAAGGAAAGAAGAAAAACACGGTGATTCTTAGATGCACAGAAAGGGTGAAGAAAAGGCTATACGACAGAAGAAAAGCTTTTTTAAATGACAAAAACAAGTCTATATTTATCCAACGCACTTCCACCAAGTTTGGAGTAACCACAAAAGACTAGTGTAAAAAATGCATTTGCAACACACGGTATCTTTTTGATTAAATATTGCATGAAATCACAATTATTCATATCTTAAATCAGTCAGTACCAGTGAATGCTTTTTAATCAAAGCCACGTTTCAATGGCAGGAAAAAAAGAACAGACAAAGAGTTCTTCCCTATCTATGATAATGTTGTAGGATATTAAGGAGATTTCATGTTTCCTTAATTGTGTTTCCACACAAACACTGGCACGGACACTTGTCAGTCAAGTATAGCGTGAGACATTTTAAGTGAACACAGCATGTCCCAATCAGGGATGCGGTTCAGACTGCTCAGCCGTGTGATTGGCTGAATAATTCATATGGAGTAAAGGCCAGGGGAGACACTTTGTGTAAGCAAGTATGTGCGGAGGTGTCCATGTATCTTTAAACGGGTTACTATGTTACATAAACGAGTTTGCGGCTGCACGTATACTACAGCACATGTGTGCGAAGCCATCATGCATAAACTTATAATATGTGGTCAACCTGAATGAAAACCAAAGACCTGGCATATCGGCTGAAGTCTAGCCAGTCAGTTAAAGTTTAATCAGCAAAGACTCTGCAGGGTCAGCTATCACAAGAGCAACAGTATTATATTAACAAAGAACAGCACTCCCACCCCGGATTATCTAATCGTTTATGCTCGTGAACCTACTTGCCCGAAACAACCAAGAAAACCAATTTTTACAATTATGCAAAGTCAAAAGGGAATTTCATAAAAAAAAAAAAATAATAATCTACAGCATGACCTGACATGGATATTAGATTAACTGCTTAGTACGTGAACTAAATTATAATAATATAATAATTATCACAAGAATAAGAAAGAAAATATGTATCAAAAGATTGTTGTTTGCAGTCCTAATTAAATATGAAAGAAAATCCTTTACTGTGTATAAAAACACTTTAGTACGGCCATTCATGTGATGTTTTTATTTATTACATATTTCTGTTGTGGAGAGAATACGTTGACCAAACCCATTAAATTATATTTAATTATCATTGTGAATAAAACTCTGTAACATCATTACATGGCAACAAAAATGAATATCCAATATGTCAACCATCATTTTTGCTTTTCACTGTATACTGCTCCAATAACTATCTATCTATCCATCTATCTGGAAACACGCACAAGAGTATACAGTCCAGTGGATTGTGATCTCCGTGCTCTCCCGACAAAGCTCTGATTGACGGGCTGCTATAGGAGCCATCTGTGCCCGCTCACAATGTGTAAGATCTTAGACATCTGTGTCCACATAAAAAGTGGATTGATGGAAAGGGGATACGGAGGAAGTGGTGTGTCAACCAGCTCTGTGGATCGAGGGCTAGCCGGGTGGATGAGGGCTGTGAGAAGGAGCGGTCATCACCTAATAAAGACGCTTGCAGCTCATCTGTGTCAGTTGGATTTCTGTTTGAGGCTACCTTTGAGGTTAAGGAACCTGGAGGGGAGTGGGAGTGAATTTGTGTGAAATTTTGTACTGTACCACACATGGGTTGAGCGCATGTGTGGGGGTTTCAGTGCGTGTAGGTATCTTTTCCTACGCGGGCCATTCCCTGCACACACATTCACATTTGCACACACTCGGCTGCCACGGGAAAATAAATCCACAGTGCTCAAGGAAGTCATTGTTTAACTTAAGAGCAATTTTCATAAACATTTTGTTATCATATGCTAACCAGTCGGGACCCACTTTTTTCAGTTTACCAATAAGACATGACATAGCAGGGTCAGGAAATGAGTTTGAGAAGGGAAGTCAGGAAATGCTGTTTCCAGCCGACAGGACGCCAGAAGAGGTCTTCTCGTGTTTTCGCTATGGCGTAACGGAAAAAGTGATGGACGTGGCAGAAAGCCAAGCTGGGCATAAAAAATGAGAATGAAATGGAAAAAAAAAATAGAAGATGAAAAACAAAGGAAGAGAGGAAGACTGGACGATTTCAAAAACAGCAAAATAACAAACCAGAGGACACATTTCAGTTTCATCATCGTGTGAATGTGAGTTGAGTTCGAATTGCGGTCCAGTTGTCAGTATCTGAGATCCTTCATGAAAAGTTTCCTCCAAATGGGCCAAAAAAAAAAAAAAAATCACCGCACACATATTTCAACACGTGGTAATCTCTGACAAAGACAAGGTGGCCTGTGCGCACAAAAACACACAGAGAGCCTTTATCTGGGGCCGGGATCTACTGCGGTTTGGAAAATCGGAGGAACTGGGGCGTAAGCACCTAAGGACCTCCAACCTAAACACAGACACACTCGTTTGGAAAAGGGAACAAGCAAAGATAGAGAGCACAAGGCACAGCTCATACAAAATATAGTAACCAAGCAAACGCTCACACAGTCAGCGGACATATAGAACAAACACACACACACACACACACACACACACACACACACACACACACAAAAGAAAAGCAGGTCTGAAATGAATTCACGGCGCTCTAGTTTTTAAAATGCCTGCCACACCCTTGAACTTACATGCAGATATTGACCTAAATGTATACACCACATTAGTTCTCTCTGAACACAAACACACACACACTCACACACATGTATATACATATATATATACACACACATGCACATAGTCCAAGTTGTAATCCAATCAGAATTTGTGCTTATGCAGCACGAACTCGTGGAACAGTGAGCGCACTCAGCAGCTTCCACCTCCAGCGCTCTTCCCTTGCCCGGACCCCCGACACACACACACAGACACACACACACAGAAACACACTCTTGCTCACGTATGTGTTCATACAAAGCCACATGCCCCCTCGTCTGCTTACACTAGCCATTGAACACGGAGACGTTTGAACACATACTGGTGCATGCTTATACATTTCACACATGCACACACACAACTCTGTGTCTGTTCCTCACTGTCTCTTGTTACACACATCCTCTGTCTGCTGTCTTTCTCTCGCACAGTTTCCTTTTGCAAAAGGCACAACGGCCGATGCGGACGGCTTCAGACAAATATGCCAAAGGCACACCTACACACGCAGATGCAAATATGCAACCACACCGGAAATTCCGTGCCATCAGTGTATTCTTTTCCCTTTGACATTAACACAAGAGTGAATGGCCATATATGCTGATCTACATTATGACACGTGTAGGCTACTCGACAGCCGTTATACGTCTTTGTTTTCATATTCAATAACTGCAAACAAATATTCAAGGACGCAGCTTGAAACAGGCAAATACAAGCAATTCATTCAAATAAATTACCATTTGCTCACCGTCATACTCCATTATGGAAAATAACCTGGCTCTTGTCTTAAAAAGCTAGAGGGGAAAAAAAAGCTACATTCAAAATTCAAGTGCAATTGTCTATGGAGTACTCTTCACTCCCCCATTCTCCAAACAGCCAGGCGTTTTAGACGCCTACATGCCACGCAATAGCAGAATAATGAAACCACATGAAAGAAAGGCGACGAGGCATTAAATTATGTTTATCTGAATGCGTGTATGTGAGGATGTGTGTGCTGTGCGAGTGACACGAAACATAAAAGCCCGACAGAGGAAAACACTTGACTGGGAATCAACAGATGGATAATATTCCACTAAAACAATGTCGCTCTTTTTTAAAGTCTTTTTCCCCCCCTTGTTCATACGTCCAAGTGAATGCTCGTTTTATTCGACCACGTCTTGTTTATATCCTCTTTTTTCTTGCACGGTGTGTGATTTAGACCTCATAGGTGCCGTTTCTGTGGATTCAACGAGTGTGTAAATCTAAGTATTACGAAAGACCTACTCCATTCACATGCACGCGGAGGGAAAAAATGGCACGTGTTTATCAAGCTTAGCTTTGCAGAAGCAAAGGCGAACAGTACTATAATATCTCCAGCGGTTTGGTTTGGCATCTCAGCTCTTGAATGCTTTCTTTTCTCTCTGTGTGTGGTGCAGTGTACATTTTGCCTCTCTCGTGATGGCCTCGGCCACAAAACGCAGGTGTGAGGCAGAAAAAGAGGAGACAGCCGCCGCATGGAAATTTGCAGAGAGCTTTGCTTAACAAAGTGCTCAAACATTATCCTAAGCTCAAGGATATCCACACATGCCTTAAAAGTTCACCTCCCCTCTCGGTGTTCCTCCCTCCCTTTTCGCTCTCTTTCTAAGCACAGTAGCAGGTGTGGGTTGGTTTCCATGGCGACTGTCTGTATAACACAACCTGGACTGTTGGATTTCTCATTCAGGTGCAGCTGAGTGACAGCTCTGACAGGAAATGTGCTTCCTTACACACGGTGCCCCGAACTCTACAATTAAGAGGAACTCCCATGAGTGTTTTACTCTAGAAGAACGGAGCACGTGTGTGTGTGTATGTGTGGTTGTGTGTGAATGAAGCCCGTGTTGATGGACTATTTACTACAGCCACTCTAAATATGTCACAAATTTGCTTTTGAAGCCACAGTGATGGTGCTTTGCAGGAAGAATGAGCAAGTTTCCTTTGATTTCTACACAGTTTCAATAATAATTTTCTATTTTCTAACCAAAAGTGACTCACAGCCATAACTCATAGTCAAGTACCATATCTTATGGGGCATTTTAATACCATATTCTGTCCTGTGAATATGACTCAGTGCATGTGAAAACAGAATATGCATCAGAGGCCCTAATAAGGAAAACGTGACCACAACCCAAACCGCACCGAATCTATATGAATAGTTTAAGTATGTGTTGAATTTCACCACACAGCTCATTCATCTTTTTCAACCCAAATGCTAGACTTCCTTGTCACCGTATGCCATGCCTGTTTTCCCTCGAGAGAGAGAGAGAGAGAGAGAGAGAGGGAGAGAGAAAAAGACAGAGCGAGGAGGAATA